GACCTGTCAAATAGCTTATTTAAATTGAGTCCTAGATGATCGATGTAGACTTCAAAATCACATACAAACTTGAAGGACTAGACCTGTCAAATAACTTAATATTTCTCTCAAATTCAATTGAAAGTTATATTTGATTTTAATTTTTGTATTGATGATTTTGATCATATGGAGATCCAAATTTACATATTAAAATATGTTGCGAACTGGGCTTTCAATCACATGAGGGTCCAAATTGAGGACTTATGAACACACTACTCTAAAGGTTGAGAGCGTTGTTCTAATTTTTTCAAGAAATTAAGGAATTTTGGAAGTTATTATTATTATTTTTTTGTGAATAGAGATATTTTGGAAGTTGTATGCCACTTGGGTCCGCTACACGTAAGCAAAATCTCTTATGGACTGTGGTGTGTTTGCAGCACAAACAATTGACACTGGCAGCTTTATTCTCTTTGGATTTTGTTATGTGTATACCTAGTTTAACATCCCGATACACAACCCCTCTCACAATGGGAGGCCACGATTTTTTTTATTGGTCACGGGCCCCCTTATTGTGAGGGGGATGTACATTGGGATGTCAAACCCAGTATACAAATAACAAAATCCATTCTCTTTTTACAGTATATATACATCTGTATATAATATATATAATATATTTTGTAGCCTATATAAAAATCCTAATATGTTTATACTATGTTTGCATTCAATAAAGAATTTAATCAATTCTTCTTGATGTAAAGTTCGTGAAATTTGGGTTAGATCTTTGATAAAATCAAGATTTAATATTAAGTTTGTGGGATTAAATTGACCTTATCAACAAGGATCCAACAAAATTTTACATGCTGTGTAACTTCATTAATATTTATAATTCGCTTTGAATATTAAAAATAATAGTTCAATCTCCACCCACGTGAGAAATAATGTCTTTACACATGAATAGTAAAAATATAACACAAACAAACATTGAGCAATTAAGAATTTGGGGATGATTGCATATTCTAGAAGTTGAGCCTCGAATCTTGAGACTTTTTCATTTCACCTCTTTCTCGTACCAAATCTCATAGTAAGTAAATTTTATAACGACAATACTAACTTTATTTGAATACTATTAGAGATCACATAAATGTATAACTAGTGTCAATTTTTATGTGAGCGTTGCCAGTTACAATTGTTATGCCTCTTCTTCATGAGGCACTAGAATACCACCATGTGAGAGTCAGTCGACAAGTCAATCAGGTCCACACTCCACATCATCCTCCTACCTGATCGAGGTGAGGCTACATGTAAGTTAGTCAAGATGATGCATCTTTTTTGTCAAAGGTGCCATGCAGAGGCTGACCATCCATGGCATAGGCAAGATGATGAGCATACTATAGGGAAGGATGTTAAAGCAACCAACCTCCTAATTGACAAAAAAAATCTCCCATGTCAGCTATTCCTAGGTATCTTTTGTACAAGATTCTTCCACGATCGACTGATGTGATATCCTTGCAGCAGGCGCCTAAACTTCAAAACGTAAGTCTATGATTCAGAAGTTAGACCTTGGTACTATGGTGCTACTTTTTAGAAACATTAGATGCCATCAAACCTATGATGGGTTGACGCCTAAGAAAGGACGCCTCAGTTATTAGGATGAGACTACGTGTCTTTTTATCCAACAATCACTATTTCACAACTTCTGCCATAAAAGCTCACACTTAGTGCTATTAGGAGGTAATGCAAGTTTATACACTCAAACTATAAACTTGCTTTCATCACTTCCTTTACATACACTCATTGATCCGAACCTACATACTTATTGGCTCATGTCTTTAGCATATATTTCACACCTAATATACTATTTTCCTTGACTAACTTGACCGTTGCAGTGTTTGCGGTTGCCTTCTCTACCATTATAGAATAACACTAGAGTCTTACAATTTATCGACTTATGTGGATGTGAGATGAGTCAGGACCTATTGTTCATACCTAAAAAATTGAGATCAATAGATTTTTACTGTCTACGAGAAACCACACTATAATCACATACAACCCCGTGGACAAAGCTTGTTGGAAAAGTGCTCCAACTTTTCCTCAAAGAAATTTTTTATTCTTAAATAAAGGACAAGTGGTAGTTTCAAAGAGAAAAGGATTTGAAGTGTTATTCAGTACTCCTTGAAAATGGAACATTTAGAGTGAGAAATCTGCTTAAAAGACCATCCTTTTGAATAAGAGGCGTTCACACACCTGAGTGCTAGTGATAAAGATAGAACTCTAAAGAGGTCGAGGGAGATCATTGAAAAAGAGGTCCTTTGGAGTAATGTCACCCACCGTTGACCTCACTACCAACATTGTTGAGATAGAAGGGTTGCGGCATGTCTCACAAAAGAGGTGGCGAATACGACAGCTAATATGATGAGCATTACCCAACAATAGGCTACATGGTCAACCAAAGAAGTATTGAGGCTAACCTTGAAAAGATTAAGGCTTAAATAGAGATCAGGTCCACTAA